AATAACATGCAATGTTCATGATCCCTCTTATTTTGTTTCAATTATTAACATTTTGCGCATTCTGCAAGGGGTATGTAAACTTATGAGCACAACTGTATGTATATAAATATATATATATATATATATATATATATATACACACACACAACAAATTATACTGTATATTATGTATGCACACACACACACACACATATGAATTTTAATATCTTGGTTTTGTCCACTATATTATTATTATTCCTGCTTCTTCATCACTATGCACATTTAAAGGACCAGGTTTAGAGATCAACACAAGTTTCGCCCGCTTACACACGCTGATGCATGCTTGCATGTCTTTAGTTTAATATCTGGGTGTGTAACGCTGATAGTAGGCAACGAATCGTTCAATAATCGCACTTGAGCTGAAGGACTTATCTCAACATCCTATCGCCTCGATGGGGGACCCTAGTAACAAGAGGGGCGGGGCTTCGTGTTCCAGAGCCAGGACCGCAGCTCAGCTCGCGCTGCCTCTAAATCAACTCAATCATCTCTCGCGCACGGGAGTGCGGGCTGCCTTTCAGGTAAGAAATCCTGATATTTTCCTTCTTATTATTTGTAAATGAGTCGTTTTGAGGCATCGCACGTGTAGTTCCTCTCTCGTTCGGAGTTCAAGCCGCTTTGGTGTTGATTTATGGTGGACGTGTTATGATGGAGCCGAATGAATGGGCGGTGTTGAGTCTCGTGCGGCGTGATGTTTGAATTCTGCAATCTGTCAGTGAATTTGAAGCCACTGATTTATTCTTTCTCGCATGTGGGTGGATTGACCGTGCATATTGATAATCTGTCATGATTTCGCCTGTTGACATTTTTAATATGTTATTCTCGTAAATTCAAGGATAATTTCAGCTATTCTCGGTGCATGGAGAGTTGCTTGACACAGTTTTACCTTTTCTGAATATATTGTTGGAAGACACGCTTATTTTGGGTTACATGAAGTCCCACGGCGTATTGACATCGAGGAACGGGGTCGCGTAGCCTCCCTCTCACAGATGATGGATGGATATCTTTGGAAATGTTATATGGCCTATTTACAGACAAGGTGCCAACGCAAGCTGTTTGCAAATGACTTAAATGTAGCGATGTGAACGAATCGTTTATTTTTATTCGAACCAGTTAAATGAACCGATTCACAAAACTGGTCTGAATGATTCGATCCGAGCGCCTCTCGAGTCATCAACTCAGCGACTTGCTGAACCCAGAACCGTGATTGACTTTAGCATAGCCTACTGGTGTTTTTATTTACGGCATATATTTACTGTATATAACATAAATACAACGAGTAGTACGTTAGTCTTACGTTCTGTTCGAATTCAGTGCGTTTTCTTCGAATATGATCGAGTCGCAGTGATCCGGGTTAACTACTCGTTTAACAGAACCGTTTGATTCGAACACGTTCGATTCGTAATGAGTCGAAATCCCATGAGTGTGCTGATTGGGTGAGATGATTTTGGAGGGAACCCAGAATTTGTCTGATTGGGCGAAACGTAAGTTACTTGAATAAGAGAATAACAGACATATGCAGAATGACATCAAATGCAAAATATATCTGGCTTTATTAAAGAGCATTTTTAAAAATTGTAGTGTCGTTTGATGTAAATGCCATTATGATTGGGATTTAAAAGAGTTATCTATTTATTATTTTATTTTTATTATCTAAATAAGGGGGTTTCAATCTTTTAGATGTCACAGACCCCCGGATATGATCATCTTAATGTCATCTTAAAGACAACTTTATTAATTTAAAAATTAATATTATTTAAAAAAATATTTGAATAGTATTTAGTTTCTATTTCTAGTTCCATTATGTTAACTTTTTTTTTTCTACTCACTACTGTACTGTTTTATTTATTATGTATTAATTTATTTTTTAAATCAATGTATTTATTTAGTTTGATCTAATTTCTCAATTATTTTTACACTTTTTACACATTTTCCCCTAAACTTCCTCTAAACCAAAGTACAACAAACTGAACAAAAAATGAAATGACAATAACATTAGTGATAAAACATTAAAAAATTTTTTTAAATCCAATTAAGCTTTTTTTTTACTATCTTGACACCACCAACAGAGCTTAGTGAAGGTATCATCTACACGTCCACATATAGCCTATGTCAAAATTATTATTATTATTATTTTTTTAGTTAAATAGGCCACGCCCTTAATATTTTGTCAGCTTCAGGCGGCCATGTTGAATTCAAAATCAATGCGTCTTTGATCATTTTCACATTGACATTACATGTTGAGACTACATGTATGGTGAATTTGGTAGGGATCAGGCAAAAACAAAACAAAAAAAAACCTAAAAGTAATTTGCAAAAGTAGTTGTTTTTTGTTTTTATGTAATATCCCTGATGAAATGCGTGTCTTGAAGCTATAAGGTTGTATAAAGAACATGGCTCTTGGTAATTTGTAGATTAATTGTACCTGCCGTTACATTAAACTGTCAGTTTAGCCCAATAGCTACTTTATTGCAAGAGCATCATAACAAACATTGTTGTGATAAGCCAGGAAAGCTAAGCAGGTAACAGATACATCACAAGATGATGCATTGAACCCTCACTACAAAATGCCTTCTTGCCTACAACATAATGTAGTCACATTTGCTTTAGAGTTGCACGCACATCTGTTTTTCAGCAAGCAATATCAAAGCATCACACGCTATACGCACTTTAATGGCAGTCTTCTCCACAGTTAATAGCCTGAAATGGATTATTGTCTCACACATAAATGGATATATGGACTGTGTGGAAGTCATATCCATATATAAGGCAGTTCAGGCTCTTTGAAGAAATCCGTGTTTTCCTCTAGTGCAGCGTCACACCCCTTGGAATCCGTACTGTACTTCAAAGATATGACAGCTCTCAATGTACGTTAGCTTAGAGCAGTGCATATCAGTATATAAGAGACTGAACTAGCAAAGCCAGAGGCATCAATAGATCTGGATTTGATCATTTGGTACGATCAGTAGAGTTTAAATGTAAACCGAATGATTGAAAGTGCATTTCATTTCTTCATCACCACCATGTCATGCGTCACATGAGGCAGGATGGCAAATGCAGTGTGACTGTGACACAAATAATATGCACTTTGACCTAGTTTTAACAATCTGTTAACATAGTCAATCAATTATGCCCTTATTGCTACCAGCTTAGTTGCTTTATAAAAAAACGATCGGGTTTGTGTTGACCTGAAATGCATTAACGTTCACATTTATTTAGCATAAATTGCATTGAAATGTTTGAATCCGTGCTAGATGATACACTGAGGATGGCCGTCGTCACTATGCAAGGAAAAGGAAATTAGCACTGCTGTTTGACAGGAAAAAGGAATGTTTCTGTATGTGCTGGACTTTGTCACAGTCATATGAGGTCAAGCTGCTGACCTTTTAGTATTATATTTTGTTCTTAAGGAGATACATGAATTTTTATTATGCACATGAGTCTGTCTATCTATCTATCTATCTATCTATCTATCTATCTATCTATCAGGGATGGAACGGTTCGCTGAAAAGAATTGAACTGTACGGTTCTCCACACACGGTTCGGCACGCACTAGGACCGCGGTTCAACTTAAATCTGACAACGCATCTGTAATATGGTTTGCTATAAATAACACGTAAAACAAACAGGGTTCGGCTATTGTATGTTTCTGTTGATGGATGCGCATTCTGGCTTCCCAAAACATTACAACAACAGCGATGGAAAAAAAAAGAAACGTGGACAAACCATTCACTCTTGTTCAATGCGAATGCCGTATGCTGGAATATGAGCAGTCATTTATTACGTCATCACCTGGGTGCTGATTCTATCTATCTATCTATCTATCTGTCTATCTGTCTATCAAATCTTACGATTATTGATTGATCATAATTTCTGAGTAATAATGGATTTATTGAGATATTATATGATTTGAACTTTTTTTTTTTCTTTTGCTTTTATTTGGTGAATGATTCTTAAAGAAAAAAATTACCCAAATTTTATTTATATATTTATTTGTTTTTATCAGCATATTAAATATTGCATATTTAATTCTTTATGCTCATTTCTCTGTTTTTACATTTAGACCTGACATGACCTTTGCCATCATCTGGTGCTAACTAGATTAAGTTAATTTAATTAGTTAACTCTGTTAACTATTGTTATCTTCAGAAAATCTCAAAAGTATTATCCATTTTTCTTACAGTACATTATAATATTGTGACGCCTAAATGCAGTTGTAGCTTTTTTAATTATTATTTCAGTTTTTCATGTATTTTTACTTCATTTAGAAAATTGTATTTGAATTAAAAAAAATTCAAAAACGTTGGCCATAACATGAAAATAATCATCAGCCTATCAGTATCAGCCTTAATTTTAATGTCAGTTCATCCATGAATGAGATTATTTCTGGGCACAACAGTCTAATTTGGTTGCATCCTTCTGATTCATGAAGTCTGACTGGTGAAAAGGCCTCTGGTACTCTGACTTGACTTGACACAAGAGAAAGGATGTGTGTTTTTGTGATGAAAGGGCACGATGGGAATTAAAATGCATGATTAATGGACAGAGAGCTTGATGGTAAAGGTTATTGCTTATTACGTGTATTGATTATTTTCAGCCTCTTTTTTTCAGCTGGGTGATGTAAAGATGTAGTGAGCATTAGGGGTGGGTTATATGACCAGAATCTTGTATCATGATATGAGTATTCTTTAGAGATGCACCGATTTTCTTGGCCGATTTCCGATTTTTTGTTAGTGTGATCTGCCGATACCGATTTTTGCCGATTCCGATTTTCTTTCTAAGAACTATAATGAAAATCGGCCGATTCCGATCCCTGGCCGATCGATCGGTGCATCTTTAGTAATTTTATATCACGATAACGATATATATCACAATGTAGTTATTTTTTCTTTTAATAAGGTTTTTATGATATTAAAATCTTTGATACCATAGAATTTTCATACTGATACAAGAAAATAATTTAAAAAAAACTTAAAGCTCACTGGAGATAAATAAACAGTCAGTGATGAAATAAGGATAAGAAACTAATTACGAGCAATAGGACAAAAAAACTACAATAAATAAGAAATACATTGTGTAAATTAGTCTTCACTGTGTAATAGGGCTGCACGATATATCGAAATTATCGAAATATCGCAAATGTAAATATCGCAATATGCATATCGCAAGGGCGTGCGATATCTGAATCATTTTAATAATAGGCTACTTAAATCAAAACCTTGCAAAAGGTCGAAGTTTTAGTTCGATGCATATAGCAGAGAATTGCTTGACGTTAAAAAGAGTTAGAGCCGAAAGTTAAAAAAATTGTTTTCCATATCATCGGGAAGGAGAAAATACAGCTAACACCTGCTTTCCTCTGGCTGTATATCCCATATGTGAGGTTATAATTAGCTCTCGCTCTAAGTGTCACAATCTGGGATGCAGCTTTTTGCTTGCCAACTACATCTGATAAAATCTACGGCACCAGTGACACCACACGCAGAGGACAAAATGAGAATAAAATGGAGGGGAATGGGAAGAA